GTTTGTAGTGGCGCTTGAACGACGCAATAATGCCGGCGTCCATCGGCTGCAAGAACGCAGTCTTGTTCGGCGGGAGCATCAAGAGGCGGACGTTGGTAAGGTTGACGTCCAGTGGATTTTGAGATGATGCGTTGTCTAGGATGAGGAGGGCGAACCTTTTCTCACTTGCCATCCGTGAGTTGAAGTTACTTAGCTACTCTGAAAACAAGGCCATGGTCATCCAGGCCTTGCGATTAGAGTGGTACAGCAACCCCAATTCTCGGCTAGTCAAGCCTCCGAAACAACGCGGCTTCTTGGATTTCCCAATGAACATCGGCTGCAATTTGTCGGTCCCGTCAGCGTTCATGGCAAGGGCAACTGAAACCCGGTTCTTGTCTTGCTTTTGGCCCGACCTCGGTTGATCGGCGATTGTGGTACGTGATTGTGAGTTGTAAAAAACTTCGGTTTGATCCATATTGTAGATGTCGGAAGGGTTGAAACGTCGGGTGATATCTTGGACCGTGGCGCGGCCGTTTGCGACGGTTGTGGGACTTGCAGACGCGGCTTCTCCGTGAAGACGGTACATTTTCAAATTGTGGCGAATTTGAAGTCGGTATAACCACCCATTTGAGCAACTAATGTGCCCACTTAGGTTCAGTTTTGTCGCGATGCGCTGGCCCGCCCTGAGTATTAGTTCGCCCGTCACGCAAGCGTCCTTGGAATTGGCTGTTCGCACCCAGTTTGCGACTTCGCGGTCGTGTTCGGGGTATTTTGGTCGCTGAAGTTAAACCGACATTTCGTTGACTCCTCTTTTATGTTGTAGGACTCGATGGTCCGCACATTCATGTACGGCCAGCAGATCCTAATGAAGCGCAAGTATACATTCCTTCGACGAATGGTCGTGACGTGGACGGATTGGATAAATTACTGAGTCGCCCAGCGCTGGACTTGTGTGGCCTTGATTGGCATATGAGCCTTATAAAACTCTCTAATCGAGTTCTTGTCATGAACTGTCAATCGCTTGCTTTTGCTTCGCTTGCCCCCCATGCAAACTAATTTCGTAACGTTTGTGGTTGTC